GATGAAGAAAAAAAGAGATTCCCTCATATTGTTGCAAGTAGATATATAGTTCAATCATTCCACCATATTAATGTTGCACCAATGTGTTTTGGCTGTATTCCTGCTGATGGACATTTGGGTTAGTCCTTGGTTTTTTTGTTTTGTTTTTACTATTATCACTTGTTTCCACTAAGAACATTGTTGTATGTCTTCTGGGGTATGGGGGAAGTTTCTCTTACATATCTATCCTGAAGGAAAACTGCTGAACTATAAGGTATATGGAATATATACCTTACAAAACTGCTTCTCCACATGGCTTTATCAATTTAAGGTTCCCATCTGCAAATTTATGAGATTTTGTTGATCTGCAGTCTTCCAATACTTGATACTATTAAGTTTCTTAATTTTGCCAAATAAATGAACATAAAATATTTTCTCATTATCATTTTACTAATTATTATTAAGACTGAATATCTTTTTATGTACTTATTAACCATTATTGTTTCCTCCCATGAAAGGACTATCCATACATCTTTTGCCCACTTTTCTACTAGATTATTTATCTTTTTCTTAAATTGACTCATAGATATTCTTTATTTTTGATACTAATCTTTGGTCAGTTATGTTCAAATTTCTCCCAGCTCCTAACATGTCTTTTTACTTTCTTTAAATCATCTTTTCATGAGCATATTTTAATATAATCAAATTTTATCAGTTTTTCTTTTATAATTAGTGTTTTGTGTCTTAAGAAACCCTTCTTCGCCGAAACCGGTTTGGCTCAGTGGATAGAGCGTCGGCCTGCGGACTGAAAGGTCCCAGGTTCAATTCTGGTCAAGGGCATGTACCTGGGTTGCGGGCACATCCCCAGTAGGAGATGTGCAGGAGGCAGCTAATCGGTGTTTCTCTCGCATCGATGTTTCTAACTCTCTATCTCTCTCCCTTCCTCTCTGAAAAAAATCAATAAAATATATTTTTTTTTAAAAAAAGAAAGAAACCCTTCTTTACCGATGGTCTGAAGGACATGCACCTGGGAAAAATGTAATCTTCACATTATCATACGCTTTGAGGAATTTCAGCTAAATACAAGAAAGAGGGGGTCATGTTAAAGGAGAAGTTTAACTAATGACTTGCAACTACTTTTATTTAAAAATTTTAAAAGTGTGCCCTGACTGGTTTGGCTCTATGGTTTGGCTCAGTGGATAGAGCGTCGGCCTGCGGACTCGGGGGTCCCGGGTTCGATTCCAGTCGGGGGCATGTGCCTTGGTTGCGGGCACATCCCCAGTGGGGGGCGTGCAGGAGACAGCTGATCGATGTTTGTCTCTCATCGATGTTTCTAGCTCTCTATCCCTCTCCCCTCCTCTCTGTAGAGAATCGATAAAATATATTCTAAAAATTTTTTTTTAAAAGTGCAACAAGTAAAGAGAATCCTACCAAAACACTACTAATTTGTCTTTTTGGATAGAGCACAGAAGGACCTAGAATATATATACATCCTTCCTTCATCACTAGGATATCAAGAATATTTTGAAAGCAGTTTTGCTGGAGAGCCAAAGTGCAAGTCAAGTACATCTAAGAGAAAATTTACAAATGAAAATCTACAAATTCTGCCTCGACAAGAGGTAATAGCATCAGGAAGAAAACTGGGCAAAGACACATGATACCCCAAGTGTTAAACGGTTAATATGCAGGAAAACTTTCCTGACATGGTGGTTTCAAAAATTTCACCTGCATATCCACTGTACTGGCTCTACCTTCTTACTCTTCACAGGCTGATGAATTGCTTAATTGGTAAAGTCAACTTCACCATGCCTTTCCCATTTCCACATCTGCAATGGGAAGAAAATATGCAACTAACACCAAGCATTAAAGTACAAAACAAAGAAACACCGAGACCACCAACAACAAAAAGCATGCTATTTAGGGACAAATACCTGACTTGGATGATCAGGAAAAAAAAGCCAAAAAGAGTCAACCTATATTGCAAAAAAAAGATACTAGCAAAACTATAATGAGTCCAGGCAATGGCTGCCAGAGGTTAGACTTGGGGGAAGAATATAAATACAAAGGAATAGTACAAGATAGTTTTGGAGAGATAATGGAATTATTCTGTATCCTGATTGTAGTGTTTACACAAACCTACAAATGTGTTAAAATTTATAGAACTGTCCACACCAAAAAGGTGAATTTTACTGTATGATTTAAAAATGTTTTTAAAGGATTTGTATACAAATATTTATAGAAGTTTTATTTACATTCTTCAAATACTGGAAATAATCAAATGTCCTTCAAAGAAAGAACAGATGGATAAATTGGTAAATCCATACAAGGAAATAGTACTTAGTAATAATTAAAAAGAACAAAGAATTGGTATACAAAACAACAAACTGCAAAGATAGCATGCTGAGTGAAAGAAGCCAGTCTTAAAAGAGTACACACTGTAATTTCTGACATTATGGAAAATGCTTCCTAGAGACAGAACAGATCAGTGAATTAGGGTTAAAAAGGAGAAGGCTTAACTAGAGAGCAGCAGCAAAGGAGAATTTACAATTTTACTGTATGTATATTTAATAAAAGAAACAAGTTAAAAAGGATATGGAAGAGGAAGAAGTTCCTAAAAATAATCATTATAGGAAGCAAAGATAGGCTGTGAACAGTCATCTTTGTGACCCAAAAAATTAAATCAACTAGGCATCAAAAAATTCAGGTAAGAAATCAATCAACTGAAATAAATGGGAGCTAGATGTGATAACATAAGCAGACATGTCACTGAAGAATGCAGAACCTCACAAGTCACAAAATCAACACAAAGCAAATCACATCAATGTCATGAAAATTCAAATTTGAGAAATTCTCCAAATGCAAAAAAAAAAAATGGTAAGAACCAATGGCACTGAAAGAATGTTCAAAGATTCAACATTCTTTGACATTATTAGAAAAGAAAATGAAAACCTGGCCTTTGGACAAAGAATTAAAAATCTTTTATGCACACAGAAACAGTTATTTCCAAAGAAAGGAAATTTAGGCTGGCCTCAGACATCTTTTATATGTAATAGAAATATAAAGCTATAAAATGAAGCCTGAAAGAAAAGACTGTGACTCAAAAATTCTATATCCAGGTCAACTATTGTTCTATTATGGTCAAAGTAAGGCATTTTCATGCATTTAGAAGGGCTTAATAAAAATATTATCAGCTACTCTTCCTAAAAAATAATACAATAAGCTAAATAAAATCCAAAGCAAATATGTCAAAGGTGAGTGAGACATAAAAAGACTGGCTGTAAACAATAAAACAATTTAAATGTAAAATTTTAAAGTTCAAATACCCATCCATGCATAGTACCCCAATAAAAAGACCCTGTTTAAGAACAAGAAAGTCCCCATATAATTAAAAAACAACCTAGAATTAAAATTTCAGACTGGGTAGAGAAGAATTGTGGAAAGACATAAAAGGGTGACCTCCTAAAACAAAATCTTTACTTGCATCCCGCCTTTCATACCCCAAATCATTTGTCCTGATCCATTATTTGTAAGGGCAGTGGAATTATCTGTTTAAGAACAAGAAAGTCCCCATCTGTGACTCCCACATCTAACTGTCTAATCAAAGAGATTTCACTATCTATATTTCTCAAAAGCACCTTAAAATCAGCACATCCTAAAACAAAATCTTTACTTGCATCCCGCCTTTCATACCCCAAATCATTTCTCCTGATCCATTATTTGTAAGGGCAGTTACAAACGGTTAAGCAGGGCCTTAAATATTAAATAGCCATTTGTACTATTCCGAAGCAAAGTTTCTAACAATTCAGTTCAAGAATCACTAGCAGCAAAATTATCGAGGTGCTTGATTAAAAATATACTCTACCAGGTCCCTTATCAAATATATCAGATTGCCTGGGGTGGTCTCAATAGTCTGCATTTTCAAGAAGCACCCTAATTGATAAGTATGTGTCCTAAAATGTATGGCAACTACTGCTCTAGGATCATTTCACATGCTTCACCAGTAAGAAATGTTAACTGAAATAGTTCCCTCTTTTGCAAATATCAAGTAGCCACAAGATGCTTATGTTTACACACAGATAGGAATCAACTTTAGTTCCTGTTTTATCTCAATTTCTACATGCAAGCTTTCCATAGCAACCATCATAATTTATTGGAGAAGCTTCTAACTTTATCCCTTATTTGAAAATAACTTTAAATGTACTGTCTATGGAAAAATCTGTTAGTTTCTTACTCCATCCATCCCCTTTTTCTCCTAAAATTAGCACCCTCCCCCACACCAATTTTCTTTTGTAGTCTAAAACAGAAAACATTCCCCAGCCTATCTTGCTGTGTGCCCTCTGATCAAATCTGGCCAATATGATGCAACATGAACAATGAGTAACTTCTTGAGAAATCTCCTTTACAGTCTCAACAAAGGTAAATAACTGAAGAAATAAAATTCTGCAATCTACATCTAAAGCCCCATGTCTTCCCAACTCTTAGCTGCCTTCCTAAAGTCAAATTCGTCTACATTTTGTACAAGTGCTCTAACTGCATAATTATAAAAAAGCTTTAGGAGTTTTAGGGAAAAATATTTTATTTCTCATAAATACAAAATAAATAATGTTCAAACATTTATTTAAAAACTGTTTGGTTCAAACTCCAGACGTGTTATTTCCATAAAAATAATGTTTTAAGATTAGAGTCCCTTGCTAGTTCTCAAGCCTGATTAATTATAAACGCAGAATTCACTGAGCTTTGATAAACACGACTCAATAACCTTAATCACCTGAGGAGTATGAAGAATAGGCAAAAAGCAAATTCAGAGAGTAAGGGTTACCCCCTTGGAAAGGAGAAATGTTTCAAATATGACATCACAGGGTCTTCAAGGATCTTTGTAAAGTTGTTTCTAAACTAAGTGATTGTTTCCTTCAGAGTAAAGTTCTTAAACTCAAAATGTAATATTAAAAGGCATTAAATACCCATCCATGCATAGTACCCCAATAAAAAGACCCTACACACAAAAATTACTGTACTCTTACCCTACGCATGGCTTCCTCCTCTTCTTGACGCTTTTCATAATGTGCAAAGTCATCAAAGATTGAGGTGGTATGCTTGAAGGTAGCAATTATTTTAAGCACTTGCTTAGCTTTTTCTAGGGGTACCTCTTGAGTGTCCCTTGAATTGGTAACTGGTTTGTTGTCATTATTTTCTAAGCGAATATGCCGTAATTGGTTATTGGGAACATCTTTGACAAAGATCCACTTAACTTCAAATTTGCCCTTCCACTTATCCTGAGACCAGACACCAGCATATGCATTATAGTCCACAACAGACTTCATTTCAGCCACTCCACAAAAATGTCCACTGCCATTCACACTGAAGAGTAAATAGAGTGGGCCTTTCCCATTCAGGGAACGGTAAGCTGCATCCAAACGCTTATTACCATGCTCAGTACTACACCAGATAGAGTACTTAATGGAACGGTGAATGTCATCCTCAGAATAGCTTTTAATTATAAACACACGTCCATTTTTCAGGTTCCAGTCAAAGTCTTTGGGATTATAGTTGTTTATGGCCTTTAGCTTTTCCAGCACTGGATGCACTTCTACACTAGAAGGTGAAGCACTGACAGGAACAACACCTAAACCAAAGTTTTCACCGCCCGCTCCATTGTTCTGGTTGAAGCCACCTCCCCTATTCCGAGGAGCTACCCAACGGTTCTGCAGTTGTTGCTGTTGGGGCTGCACTTGGTGAGGCTGAGCCTGTGGCTGAGGTCCTTGTTGCTGCTGTGGTTGTGGTGGCTGAGGCTGCTGTTGAGGCAGTTGGCTTTGCACCAATGGTGGTGGTTGAATTAATGGCTGAGGCTGCTGAATTATAGTTTGAGGAGGCAGAACTGGTTGGGTTGGTGGTGCCTTTACCACGGACCCCTTTTCATCCCAAGTTCCAATATTCATGTTGTGTTTTATAGGAGGTGGTGGCACAGCAGAACCTCCAATTCCTACATTGCCCTTGGGTTTAAGTTTCGGTTGAGGTTTGGCAGGCTTTCTGGCAATGGCGGCCCAGGAGGTTGGTTTAGGTGCTGCACTGCTAACTGGGGGCATACTATTGGTTGCCATGCTAGTCATACCACTGCTGCTCAAGGCTGTACCTACAGTTTTTGTCACTGCAGCTGTCAGGTCACCACCAATTTTCAGTCCCGTCATGCCTTGTTCAATACTGCTAATGCCAGGCACCTTACTCAAAGTATCATTGCCAAATCCAGCCTGTCCATCAGTAATAGCTCTCCCAAGAGAACTAGGTGGATAGCCATAACTGCTACTATAAGCAGAACTTTGCGTTGATTGTCCCTGAGATCCACTTGTCCCCCACGTAGAGAAATCAGCATTACCAGGAAAAAAGTTAAATCCATGCTGACCAAGAAATGGAGGGGTATTTCCTAATGCCCCAGGTTGACTAAACACACCATCTGGTATATAATGATGTTCTCCATTACTCATTTGTCCATAAGTTGTCAGATATGGCATAGGTTGGTCTCCAGCTGTGGACCATGCTGCTTCCCCAAGAGAATATGGAAATCCAATGGATGGAGCATAGTAACTAGGCATGTATGGATCTGACATTGGTGGATAGCTGTTACTCTGGAAAACAAAAGATCATAATCAAGAGCAAAGTTCCTCTGAAGGTGGGGGGGGGGGGGATCTGAAAGATGAAAATCAAATAAATTTAAGTAAATGAAAACAAATCCACCTGTTCCAAATAAGCAAAATTAAAGTTTCAAACCTAATTTTATCAACAGAAAAATTTGCTGATGAGTATTTTTACTTTAAAATGTTTATAAAATTCCAAGTTTTTTGTTACAGAGCTAGGGGTGGAAGATAATTATTTTTGTTTAAAGAATCTGGTCCTCTACCACCATTTAAAAATACTGTACTTTCTACAAAAGATTGGTTTCTAAATTTTGCCCACACAAATTCATCATTTACAGCCAGCTTTATTTTAAGCAACTGATGTATACAAACATGTATAACCAAGAATTTAAAAAGCCTGAAAACTATGCCAATAATAGAGAAATTATAGCCTATCTGTATTACAGAATCCAGTTCAGCAGTTAAATTTTGAAATTTTAAGAAAAAAATTAGAGAAATACACTCTGAGAAGCAAAGATTCATGATTATATGTATAGCATGATCCAAATTTGTTTTTATTTTGCCTCACTCATTTTAAAAAGAAACCAAACCAAATCCTTTCTACGGTTTCTTAATGGTAGGATAACAGGTGCCTCTTTTCATTAGATTTTCCAAATTTTACACAATAAACATCACCTTCCTGATCAGAATTTTCATTTACAAATTGAGTTCCTGCAATTTCCCCCCAAAATTACTGCAATTACATCAACTTTTATTTTGAATATTAACTAATCATTCAGTGATTTGCCAAAAACCAAGGTAGCAAATTCTATTTTTAAAAACTCAAATTTGTTATTACACAATGTGAAAAATAAAATATTTAAGGATTTTTTTGAATATGTGTTTCTTATGCTCCAAACAGGCCTGACAACAGATTTTCACAATTTGATGTAGGTGTGATTTTTAAAGCCTCGAACAGACCTTTAGCATTTGTAGAATAAGCAAGGTGAAAAAAATTAAGCTAATATCCAGTCAGAAGAAATAGTATTCCCTTTGCAAGGGTCAAAGTTCGAAGACTGATTATTCACTTCATTTTTATAGATATTCTAAGTTTCCCAGAGCAAAGTATGTAACCGCCCCCCCCCCCCCCCTTTTTTGCCATTAGTCTCTTGGGACTATTCTAAAACACTGCTTTTTCACTCAAGAAAGTACATCAATATAAATGGGAAGCAAACATCATATTGCCTGGAATTCACTTTAAATTATTTTTTGTAAAGGCCAATCATTAAAAACTGAGATGCTTTATTGTTACTATTAAGTTTCAAATAAAGGTTGTATTTAAATTAATAATTATGACATAATATTACTACTTCCAGTAAAGATTGCATTTAAAAAAACAACTCTCAATTCATACTATTTAAAGAAAACAAAAATGACTTCATTCACTTGATATGAAGTACATTTTACTGTATTCAAAACTGGAAATACACATGTTACTATTTACTAATTTAGTTGAACATATTCATTAACTATACATAGGTTAATTATTAACTGTATTTGAAAATATATTCCAACAATGTTCACAGAATTAGTATAAAAGAAATGAAGAGCATCTTTGGAACCACCACAGTAGTGCCATCTTTACCGAAATTAACAGTGGAAATACTGACTGTTATACTTAAAGACAAAAATAAGAGCTTCTTGAGGAAAAGTTCAAAATCACCAACACTGGTTTTCAATGAAAAAATTCTTCAATGAATTAAGTAAACTTTACCAGTCAATGAAGTTGATACACACTCACACACACAGTATAACCAACCAATCACTAAAGTTCAGCCAGAATAATCTATATAATTGATTAAACGATTTTTAAAAATATTTTTAAATTTAAAGTTATTAGAGTATCTATTTATTAGTAATTTTAACCAAACACTTATTAAATGCCTAAACTGTGATATAAGATACTCATTGTAGCCCTAGCTGGTTTGGCTCAGTGGATAGGGCGTTGGCCTGCGAACTGAAGGGTCCCGGGTTTGATTCCAATCAAGGGCATGTGCCTTGGTTGCAGGCACATCCCCAGTGGGGAGTGTGCAGGAGGCAGCTGATCAATGTTTCTCTCTCATCGATGTTTCTAGCTCTCTATCCCTCTCCCTTCCTCTCTCTGTAAAAAATCAAAAAAAAGAAAAAAAAAAGAAAAAAGATACTCATTGTAAAAGAAAATCTACAGCTAATGACACGTAACACATGGAAGTGAATAAATTCCCCATGAGGGAAGAGTATGAGAGCTGGGCTAAATATGGAGGTAATCAGTTTCAAAGTTTTAATTTAGAATGTTGGCACTGAAACCTAGACTCAGTAAGTTATGTGGATGTGGGAGTGGAAAAGCAGAACAGGTAGAAGTTCATTTTTAAGTTCATTTTTCATAATAAAGTGTTTGCAAAATTATACTCATAATTTATTTTGAATATTCTTATTTCACCTTCACAAATGCTGAATTTTGCACAACAGTTACATATCAAGTTCCTAATTTATGTATACGTAAAGTACATATAATAATTCTAATAATTCTGATAATTCAGGGGTCAGCCAACAAAAGGTCAAAGAACAAATATATATTTTAAGCTTTGCAAGCTAAATAAACTCTGGTTGCTGCCACATATTTACTTTTGAAAAAGGCTGCTAACTCAAGGAATTTCTCAAATAGAATGGACTGAATTGGGTCCCTGGGCCACAGTTCTTTGGCAATTCAGTTTTAACTGATTCTGTAACCTGTACAGATTCCTAAAAAAAAGGAAGTCACCAACCTCTATTACTAAATTAATGTGGAACAAATGTTTGCCAATTGTTACCTCTGGGGCTGGAACAGACCCAAACCCATTGGGGTGTGAAGGCTTTGATTAGATATCTTGTCAATTATTTTTAAAATCATGATTTTTTCTACTCCCTAAAATTAGCGCTTGGCCAAAATAACAAGTTTAAATTACTTTAAAATGTGTTCCATTTAGTCATATCTGCCTATCAAACAAACAGCTCAGGCTAAATAAGCAGAGAAAGCTGTCTGCAGTGCTATTACTATCACCTACAGATGTTGAGAATCCTATATAATAAAACCCTAATATGCAAATCAACAGAACGACAGAACGACCAGTTGCTATGACACGCACTGACCACCGGGGCGCAGACACTGAATGCAGGAGCTGCCCCGTGGTGGTCAGTGCGCTCCCACAGGGGGGGAGCGCTGCTCAGCCAGAAGCCAAGCTCATGGCTGGCAAGCCCAGAGGCAGTGGCGGTAGCCTCTCCCACCTCCGCTGTAGGTGGGTGGTAAGAAGCGAAGGATGCGAGAGGGATGTCCTAAGCTGGCAGTCGGACATCTCCCGAGGGGTTCCGGGCTGCAAGAGGGCGCAGCCCAGGCTGAGGACCCCCCAGTCCTCCCCCCGCTCCTCGCGCACAAAATTTCGTGCACCGGGCCTCTAATATTGGATAAATGGCCTGTTTTCTCCAGTTTATCAAATACTAACCATTTATTTACCAGTTCTCTCAGTAGTTTTAGTTGAATGAGATGTTTCTTCCTAGCTCTATGACAGTAACTTAAGCAATCTCCTTTCAAAAGGCAAGGCTTCAGTTTGGATTCTAGTAAAAACAAAGTTGTAGGAAACTAAAGTCTTAAAAAAAAGATATGGCCAACACATTTTGAATAACTAGATCTTTGATAATAATTGGAAATGTTTTCTAATGTTTTGCTAAATCTAAAATTAATTTCTAATTGCTAGCTAAGTGGAATATCAATTAGAGCAGGGGTGGGCAAACTTTTTGACTCGAGGGCCACAATGGGTTCTTAAACTGGACCAGAGGGCCAGAACAAACGCATGGATGGAGTGTTTGTGTGAACTAATATAAATTCAAAGTAAACATCATTACATAAAAGGGTACGGTCTTTTTTTTTTTTTTTAGTTTTATTCATTTCAAACGTGGGCCGTAGTTTGCTCACGGCTGAATTAGAGGAATGTACCTTGGTAGTGGAGAAAACAAAATTTCTACTTCCTGATAATGGAAAATAACTCAACACTTACTTTTTTTTTCACCTTTTACTTAAAACGTGATTATAATGAGACAATCAATTTCAGTTTATGTAAACTAATAGCTTTATTAGTTTATATGAATAGTTTATTCATATTTTAGAAAGTGATCAGTAACAGTGAAATTTTACTATTTTTAAAAATGTTTTTATTGATTTTAGAGAGAGGTTAGGAGAGGAGAGAAACATCAATCAGCTGCCTCCTGCAGGCCCCCCACTGGGAATCAAGTCCACAACCCTGGGCATATGCTCTGAACAGGGACCTTTTGGTGCATGGGACAACACTCAACTAACTGAGCCACACTGGCCTAAGCTACCACATTCTTTAAAATCTATCACCTTTAAATAAAGTGATGTAAAACTTTTGAGATTTCCCTTATATTTAAAAAACGAATTGAAAGGGAAATATGTACATATAAAAAGTGATATAATTACCAATGGATAATTGATAACAGATGCATAATTCCTTTACCCACAGCATAAACTTAGAAACACTACCTGAGGAGCTATCTACATCTATATATCTATATATCTATATATCTATATATGTCTATATATCTATATCTATCTATCTATCTATATATATGCCTAAGCTATGATGCGCACTGACCACCAGGGCACAGACACTCAACGCAGGAGCTGCCCCCTGGTGGTCAGTGCGCTCCCACAGCAGCAGTGCCACTCAGCTGACCAATGGGCGCCAGATACCAGGCTCATGGATGGCGAGCTAACTGAGCGGTGGCACGGCACCCGGCCCGGGCTCGGGCTCCTCCCCAGCTGTCTACCGTGGCCTGATCCCTGCAGTACACACCAACGGACCCCAACGGTGCACGAATAAGTGCACCGGGCCTCTAGTTTAATATAAGGTTGAAGTGAACCCATAAGGCAACCAAATTCTAATCCCAGCCTAGGCACTTATCAGCTAAGTGAAAGTAGC